TTGTACAGGTTGAGAGGCAGGATATGAGGGAGGAGGAGGTAGGAGGACCAAGTGTAGGGAAAAAGGAGTCGGAAGGAGGGTTATGGGGAGGACTGGGGAGGAGCGAAGGGGAGGGGAGGAGGGTAAGGCTATGAGATGATTGATAGCAAGGATCTTTCTGATATGTTCACCTCCAAGTAGATTCTGGCCGCCTGCAACGATCAAAGTCCCGTTGACGACCACCCCTGAAAGCACATGAAACCTCAGTAAGGAGAGAAGGAGAGGAGGAGAAGGTGGTCATGTGGACCAGAGATGCTCTTCTGGACCTGCGTGCAACGTCCTGGGTCCCAACATGAGCGACGGAGCTCGCTCCCATGCCAACAGCATGTCGCCCCCGACGTCCTTCCTTCTCTTCACCATACACTCGCACGTTAGAGTCGCTTTCTGCGCCACCTGAGAGTCAGCACAGGGAACCTCAAGGATATGCTTCACCTCAAGGGACCTCCTCTCCTCTACCAACGGTTCTGCTGGGTACTCTGCTGGGTGCTCTTCTGGGTTCTCGGCCACTTGCGTTCGGTTGCTCACGGTCGATCCTCCAACTACAAGGACGACGTTGTCCTGACGCCCTGATCGACCCTAAGCACACCCTCCTCGTCCTCCTCATACACAACCAGCGCCTGTGGTCCCATACGCCTCATGCAGAAAGCTCGACCAGACTGCAGGCTTGATATGTGGTCAAAGATTGCGAGAACAGGAAACTTGAAGCAGGGGAACAGCAGAGACGACCAATAAGAAAACAAAGAGCGGGAGATCCGCTACATACCTTGAGCTTGTGTGCAAGGTGTGATAGGGTAGAGGAGTCAAGTATAGCAGGTGTTGAAAGAGAAAGCCCCCCGAATGCAAAAACGAGAAGGAAAGTGAAGTCGTGAGGGGAGAAGAAAGTCATTGAAGTGTGTTCGTGGTCGCCAGGAATGAAGAGATCAACACGAGATTGGGGGAGGGCGTGACAAGGGAGGATCGAACCAGCAACGAGATGGAGGGGACGGTTAGGGAGGAGGGCGTGAGAAGGGAGGATCGAACCAGCAACGAGATGGAGGGGAGGGGTCAGGAAGAAGGCGGGGAGCCAGGGAGGACGGCCGCATGCTGGGCGTCGAGCTCGTAGCGACCGGTCTCATTGGCTTTCACTTAACCCTCATCCCCACTCAGAGGCTCGGGCCCCCGGGCCGGCACGACCGGAATATCACTCAGCAGGAGGACACAAAGGGTTGCTCGGGTTTGAGGCTCACGGTGGACCGTTACAAGATCGGGGGGATATGAAACGGTCACGAGTCAAGACAGGCACAGATAAGTCACTTTGACATGCTGAGTTTGCCAGGTGCCTCCTTGCACCACCCTACCTACCTTTTCTCAGAGGATTCGTAGGAAGGTGTACCGGTACAGAAAGCTTGCTTTGTAGCAGAGGTCCGTCTTCAAGTTTGGGGTCCGTGGAGGGAGGAAACTTGGAAAGAAGAACAAACCAGTCTGAAGTGAAGGATGGATCAAGGTAGAGGAGGAGGATAGACTGAGAGAGTAAGGTAGAGGAGGAGGATAGACTGAGAGAGTAAGGAAGAGGAGGAGGATAGACTGAGAGAGCCTTGTCAATGTTGCCACGGACATGAGCAGGATCGATGGCCGTGAAACATTGTAAGACAAGCTGTGACCAAGTTGGTACCTTTCATGTTTCACTGCAGAGACAGTCATTTCACAATGAAACACACAACAAACAGGCCCAAGAGAGAGTTGCCTAACAAGAGAAAGGGCGAGGAACTTGTGGACTATGGCCTGTTCTGACTGTTTTCTGCAGAAAGCAAAACGATGATAGAGGAATTCTTAGTAGGATGCGGTGCACTATGCCAATCTAATCGATCACAAGTCACCAGAAACAACAAGTCGCTAGTTAATGACAAAATTCTGCCCGTCCGACCTCGTGCCACTGCTCCAACACTGGCAGTACCTTCAGCACGTCTGATGCGGATTGCTTTCACTTCCGAGTGGAGCAGCCAACCATGACAGGAGCAAGGTCCCTCACCCATGCTAGAGCTGTTACAGGCAAGGACCCCTGGAAGATCGATCAGTACGCTCATCCCTCCTCGCTCTTCTCATCTCTCTTACTCGATGCGCTGTCAGGGTGTGGAAGCATTACAACAGGAGCAACGATACCCTTGAGGAGATGACGGCGCGTCTCAACCAGCTCTCAGACTTGAGCTGCTCCCAGCGCCAGGTCGATGACTGTAAGGTTCAGGTACACGGTAAGCATGCGTCAGCATATCCGACTGACTTCGACCAACTTCAAGATGCTGGAGCAGCGAGAGCGCATGGCGTTCCTCCGACAGACCATCATCAACCGCAACGCGAGTGTCTTGTCGGAGCAAGTCAAGCTGAAGCCCAAGATGTGAGTCCGAAACCCTGCCATGTAATCGATTGGTTGCATGACCGGAAGCGTGTGTAGGAGGAGCTTCGAGGTCGAAGAGGTCAAGGAGATCCGAGGCAAGGAGAAGGAGATACAGGATGTCATGCAGGACATCATTGTTCTCGCCAAGAGACTCGAGCAAACTGAGGATGAGGGTGAAGTCTGACCCTTTGTCTGCGCCCATCACAAGTGCATCCTCGCGCTTCTGTCTGGTGCCTAGTCATCTTGCCTAACGGCTTCCTTGCTGCCGGGTCAAATGCTCATTCTAAGATTGTATGACTTTTTTCTTTGACAGAACTAAGATGTCAATTGACGAAGGATATTCACTTCAAGTCGGACAACGTCTCTCAGGTAGCAGTCAAACCAACTTGTCAATGCGCTCGAGGGAGCTGAGACTGCCTGTTGGCAGCTGCAGAACGAGATCAACTGGTTGAGGGAAGCCATCGATGCCAAGGCTGCCCGCATTCAGCGCCAACCTTGTCTTAGGATGGTTTGACCAGCGTCATGGTTGGGTGCGCCGGGTCCCGGGCCCTGATGGGTTCGAGTTAGCCGTGCCAGCGTAAGAGAGCGCTGAGCTAACAAGAGGACTCGGACGAGACTGGACTGAGTGGAGAAAAGATGCTTGGGGCATGTCTAGATGGTTGAATGCACATCCCAGTACTACTTTCTATCTTTCTTGTACTCTTCAACTAATTTTTCTTGTGCGTTTTAACTCGATTGTGATCAAACCCAATGATAATGCCTGCAGTGCTGATTACTTCAGCCTCATGGCAACGTGTCATCTCCGATCTATGGTAACTTGTGCTCCGTCGGTCATGGGCTCAGTCCGCCGTGCGTCCCGCCTCTTCCTCTGTCACATGCCCCCGTCTTCGAAGTTACTCCCGTCGCTCCTGGAATCTTCGTGACATCGTCCACGTCGTCAAGTCGCCCGGCCGCTCCCTCCTTGTCTTGGTCATACTCGTGCTTGCTGTCACGTGACCGAATATCGGGCCTTGACTGCTATGCATGATGGTGGTGAATCAAATCTTCCGGACTTGTTCAGAGCGCTGAATCGCCTGCTGCCAGGCTGAGCTCTGCGGCTCGTCTCGCCCATCCCGGCCATCACTGTATTTTTAAGGCAACAATATTGTAGATTGAATTAGGTATACTGAAGGTCTGTGGGTAGGCTACATGTCTTCAAAGAGTGAAAAAGAAATTTCCGAGCTCCCACGTGTATCCTCACTTTACTGATATATGTCACAGGCTGTCAAGCTGGCAGGATCTCCTATCCTCAACCAGGCCTTGGCCTCCAACTCTCCGTAACAAATTTGAAGGTTCTCTCCTAAACACCCGTGACCGACGGACAGTGGGCGGTGCGGCAGTCCGATCGTTCTGCCCAGCCTCTCAACTTAGTAAAGTTTCCACGAGAACCCGGAGGCTTCGCTACGGACGTGTCAAAGATTCTCTCAGCCGGTATCATGGGCTCCTCTCTAAGTGAAAGTCACAGTTTCAGTGCCGGACCTCCGCCGAGCCGAAATCCTGACTCAGTGCAGTGCGGCAGTGCCGTCACAGCCGCCGGAGGCCGCGTTAAGTTAGGCCTTTACCTAACCGTGGCAACGTCGGAGTCCAATCGTTCTAGTTGCCGTCGCTCCCCCAGGCTCCCCCACTCACTGACTCCGCACCAGCAGGGGTCGTCTTTTACTCAAAGTTAAGTTAAAAATCAGTACGAGGACAATCAGGAGAGTCGAGGAGGCTTGACCCTGACACTGTCGCACAGGCCAAACGGCGAGAAGAGAAAAGACAGCGAGAACCAAACCCAATCCTGCCGACTGCTGTCGGCCCCCAAACTTAACTGATACCTTCACTTAACTGCGCGCAGGACAAGTCCCCCGCGCGGCCATGCCAGCGATGTCGCGGTGGCCGCCGCCGGCTCGGAACTTGACTTGCATACCGGGATGCACCCGCGATGATGGCAGCGTAGGACAGGGAGGCCTTGAGCTGACGAAAGATCCTGGACCGGATGCGTTTGCAAGTCGGATCACCTGAGTCTCAGACGTCTTGCGAGGCCGAGAGACCATCCAGCGCTGCCGCCGTTTCCTTGTTCAATTCGCCGAGCGATCCGCCAACCACCACAGACTCTTGAAAGCGCAACGCATCAGTACGGTACGGTACTTTGAAATCATCATGCCATGATCACTGACTTTAATGGAGTCAGTAAACTCAGAGGCCCGGCCGCCCGATAGCGGCCGGGGCCCGGCCTGTGCCACGGTGAAGCCGGCCGGACAAAAAGCAGTGACGGTTCCGCCCGGTATGCCTGACTGCCGCAGTGCACAGTAAAAAAGTACGCACTACTACTTTTTTAAGTGCGCCTCCGACGGTACGCTAGTGGCCGGAAATCGAGTAGTAAAGAAGCAGGAAAGGTCCTTTATATATGTAGATAGGGGTAGTCCCGAGGGTTGGTGGTGTATACCCCTAGGTGATGGCGGTCACGGTGGGGGGTAGCATCCGGAAGAGCATAGCCTCTACGCGGGTAGGAGGGTGCCAGTTGTGGGTGGTGAGGGGCTCGTGGGGTCATGCTGGTCGATTTGATGAGATATGGGGGAGATGAAAGCTCTGTGGGGGGTGGGGGTGGTTAGATTGCAAAGGGCATAGAAGTGACATCTGCTTGCAAAGGGGGGTATTGATATGATGACTGAGCGTAAAGGGAAATATCACAAGAGGGGTACAGGTGGGGCATCGATTCTTGTGGCCCGGGTTTGATGGACAAACATACATGTCTGTGAGGTGGGGTGGGGTGGGGTTCTAACCTCGTTATGTAGAAACTGGAACGAGGAAGGGTGGGGTAGGGTCCATTGGACTTTTAGGTTAATTATTCGAACCCTACCTGAGTAATAACATAGTCATGGGGGATGTTTACCGGTCCTTCTTGAATAAGTTCAAAAAAGGCTCTGTAGTAAAGTCATTGATTATTAAGGGTGGGGTAGTAGAATCATTGGGAAACCAGGGTGGGGTGATTATAATTACGCAAGTCAATGGTAGTAGGGGGGTCGGCAAATAGAGTCGCGGGTCCCTGGGTGGGGTGGTAGTGGACCGTGTATACAGTAGGGGTTGGGTAGGGGTGTATCAAGTTCTCGTCACATGTGTGGGGTGAAAACGCGGATGGATGGGGTAGGGGTAGGTATATGGTGCGGAAATGGCAGCAATGGGGTAGGGTTATCGCCAAAGGGGGTTTTATGCGGGTGGTTAAAAAAGATTTTTCCATGGCCACGGGTGGGGTGGGTAAAGCTCGGAGGGATGGCGGGGTAGTAGTTGGTGATTGAGTAGGTACGGGTCCATATGTGGAATAGGATGGGAGGAGGAATGAGGTAGGGTGGTGTCAATTTGATGAGGGGTGCGGGAGATAGATCTCCCCGGGGGTGGGGCCTGACATTCGATCGAAGGGTGGGGTAGGGTTGTTCAAAAGGGGGTGGAGAAGGATGACTTGGGGGGGTTGTAGGTACAATGACGATCTTTTCACCCCGTCATTACAGGGTGAGTGACAAGGTAGGGTGGTAGGGTGGGGTTACATCTCGAGTGACAGAGGTGCGGTACATGAGATTGGTGGGGGTGGACAAGGTACAGGGGGTAGGGGGTCAATGTGGAGCCGGCGAGAACATGCAGTGGTTGAGAGGGAGTACAAACAAAGAGGGTTGACCATGGCAGATGGTGGCAGAGGAGAGAGAGAGAGAGAGAGAAGGGAGTGAAGGGTACAAGAGGAGTGAAGAGAAGAGGTGAGGAGAAAGCAAGACAAGATGATAGGGAAGGAGAGGAGAAGGGAGGGGATTGAGAGATAGAGAACAGCCAAGGGATGGAGAATCGAATGGAAATGGAAGATGTGTTTAGTACTATTCAGGGCAGGGCAGGGAGGGATGATGAGATGATAATGGAAAAAGAAAACTCATGTAGAAAAGCGAGCAGAGGAAAGGCCGTAACACGATGTTCCTTGAAACCGACAGCTCAGGTGCATCGGGGGATAACAAAGGCTAGGACAAGGCAGGGCGAATTATGGATGCAAAGAGAAGGATGTAGGATGAAACTTGGGCTCGGAAGGAATGAGAGATGGACGGCAAGGGATATAGGTTGAGGCCAGGGAAAAGATGGAATGCAAGGACATGATGGAAATCGACAAGAACGTAGCCAAACAAAACTTTTTCTAACCATTCTGCCTACACAGAGCACTGTACCGAAAGTTCAGTTGGAGACCCCGTCGCAGACCTCCGGTCTGTCGTGATCTCCAATACCATGCAGGCGGAGTCTCAAAACATGCAATTCAGGTGCCTTACTTGTATCTCCATGCTCTTCAAGTGTGCTTATCGACGTTGATTACAGCAACTTCGATATCCCAGTCACCGAAGAAGGAAGGGATCTGTTTGTCAACTTGTTGCTGAACACGGCAGAAGATGATTCGCCATTTGAATGCATGTTCGATGATTCGGAGGATTCTGCTTCTGTTGGTTACATCTGTCCCGGGATGACCTTGAATACCGAGGAAGTGCCGGAGGAAGAGAATCACGAATCTTCATCTCGTTACTGGACAACTCTTCGCACTCGAGTCACTGCCATGCGCGCTTTCAAGGGGGTGATGAGCACACTGCAGAAGAATTCAAGCCTCGGCGCTCGAAAGATGAATGAACAAGGAGAGGAAATTTCGTTGCAAGACCCAGCTTATCATCTGAACGAACAAAAAGGTGCTCTAGAGAATCAATCTGCAGGCCTTGAAATCAAGGAGATGGATTCGAAGTTGGCTCTTCTGAAACCAGAGATGAATTACAGCAAGAATGGTATTGATGAAGCACTGCACAGTATGGACGTGGAGGGCAAGGCTGTTTTCAGTCGCATCCCATCCCTCGAAACGGCCTGGAACCTTCCTGATCTCACCTTGATCTTCAGACCTCCGCCCAGTTTGATGGAGGCGATGGCGATTGGTATAAGTCCAGGGAAGTGGATCAAGATCGCTCCGGAGGCCCCCAATCAGGCTTTCAATGAGGGGAAGGCTAACTGGAAGATGTTGCAGTCGGCTGTGAATACTGGAATTGCATTCAAGCTCGTGGCAAAGATTGCAGGACAGACCAATGAGAGAGAGGCTGCGAATCGCAGGGCTAAAGTTCAACACGACGTGGAGCATTTCAAGAGTTTCCTGCTCAACATTACAAGAGCTTGGGAAGACTTGATGCACACTGAAGAAGAGCCCGCTGCTGATTGCAGCTTTGAAAGAGCTCCCTCGGATGTTGTTCCAGTGGATGGGATACCAGAGCGCGAACCATTTGTTACCAAAGCCATAGCAACAGGCTTATGCAAGTTGTTTCCAAGACTCGTAACAGACCATGACACAGTCTTGGACATGGATCTTCTGGCTTTCCATCCACATTATCCTTGGCCGATGTCAAACACCAGCTTTCAAGTGATGGAGGCTGTGCAGATGGGCAAGAAGGGAGCTAGAAGTAGCGGCAAGAAGCAGCTGGACTCGTGCACATTTAGGATGAGGACTCCGGGTTGCGATCAGATCACCATAAGGATATGGGCGAACGGGAAGACGCAGACCTATGGATGCAAGGACAGGAACATGTTGGAGGACGCGAACCAATGCTTAGCTTCGTTTATCCGCCACATCGACAACTACCACAGGATGAGCGGTGATTGAACTCACTGGAAGATGGTGATTGTCTCTTGATTCTTTTGATTGAACAGGAAATCAATCTGTTTGGAGACTTTCACCGATGCAATCTGCAAAAGCACTATCGTGCTTAGGTGAGATGACGAAGTAGGTTTCATTCTTGCCATTGTCTCATCGCGCATTTCAGATGAGGTTCGAACTTTGTCTGCTCCTCTCCTGGGAAGCTGGAACATCAATCTTAAGAGTACGACTTAAGGTGTCTCCTCAAGGTTCTAACGAATGTATCTGCAGAGGCAGGAATCAAGCTCAACATGCAGGCACTTTGCGAGTTTCTTCAGCAATCGATGTTCGAAGACAGGTTCACTCCCTCCCGTCTTTCTCCTTCACTGCTCCTAATGCTCATGCCAGGGTCTACAAAGTTCAGTTTGTCGCTCAGAAAGGAAATTCTGTGAGTTTTTTATTGCTGCTTGCTCTTGTCTCCTCTCACCCTGACTCGTTTGACAGTCGAGATTCAACAACCTTTCTCTGTACATCCGCACCTCATGCTTGCTCACATGGAAGAAGGACGACGATCTTGACAACCATCAGGACAACGTCTATGTCAATGTTTACGAGTCAGGTACGACACTCTCCTCCATCATCGTCTTGCCTGCTCCCCCACATCCTTGCAATGCTTCCTCCTCCTCCTGCTTCTTCTCTTACATCTCACCGTTTCCTTCCAGGAAAATGCAGCGTGCTCGCAGTTCCAGACACAGAGGTTGCTGAGGAGCTTGCGGAAGTTGTCAGTGGGATGCTGTATCAGGCCCTCAGGCAGCAGGTACGACTAGATTGCAATGTGATGTTCTGATGTATCTGCGTCAGCCCGGGATCAGCGAAGAGATTCAGTCGTCCAAGAGGCGCAAGATTTAATTTCACCTGTCTTTGATCCTTTTTCCGTGTTCCAGTTTTCCAAGGTCCAAACTGTACTATACGCGACCCCCGAACTAAGTTTGTCGCCGACTCATCCCTTCTAGTACAAGAAAAATGATACCATAACTTCTGTAAGAGCCTGCTTCTAGCCCTCTCTTCCACATGGAGGGCAAACTAATTAGTGCAAGTCTTGCTCAACTTTGGAACCTCGAGTTCAATTGCTCCTACCCCCTTGCCCAGACCGCCCAATCTTGTAGAAAATGCGCGGCCCTACCACCACACCCCACCTTGCACGCAGCTTCGCGCCATTCATGGCTTCTCCTGGGACGCGCTTGTTTGACTCCCAATGCAAGGAAGGAGATGACGGAATTCGATTGTATCAGTGCTCAGGATGAAAACCTGATGTACCATCATCTTTGCGCGAAAGAATAGATCACCATGGAGCTACGCTGACAGCGGAGTGGGATGGATGCGCTCAGGAGGCGGTGTATGGGGACCCTAGCTTTCATCACTTGCTTGCTCGTCTGTTCCGGCATATCGATCTCGCATGGGTCTTGCCGTCCTCCTTGCAGGAGCCTTGCGCTACTGCTCTTTGTCCTGATCCTCGTTCCCCTGCTTGTCGTGCATGCCGTCGCGTGTGGTTCAAGTGGCGGTTTTCGCTGCCTTTTCTTTCTTTTACTCTTTTGTTGAGGCGGACTTGTTGATTTACCCTTTAAGTAATTAATTTTAAAAATGCGTAAATTGCAACAAACTGGACGCATACAGGGACGCATATGGATCGCTCGGTCAGTCTTGCGTCCTTGCTCCTGCTCCTGCTCCTGCTCCTGCTCCTGATCCTGCTCCTGATCATGCTCCTGCTCCTGATCTTGCTCCTGCTCCTTCTCTTGCTCCTGCTGCACCTTCGGCACCTTCTGCACCTCTTCCTCTTCCTGCGCCATATCCTCGTTTGCCGATCATGTATTTGAATCATTCATTGCTGCCCATCTTCTTCTTATCTATGCATACACTTTCTGCCTTCATACGTGTCCAATTTCTTCGTTAAAGCTTTTCTTGGATTGATCGAAGATTGCATTTCATCTTTTCTCAGACTCATCACAAAAAGAGCTGATTGCATGTTGACAGCGTGTGAAATACTGCAATCAGTAAGAGCCATTTCATGAAATGTCACCTTGAAGCGCCAACTAAACTTGATCTCTACTTCTTCCTGAAAGAAAGCAATCGAGTAAGGCGCAGAGTTCTTGACGCAAGGGGATGATGCGAACAAGTCAAGTTTTCTCTCTCGTTGTAAACGCTTGTTTGCTGAGCACGTCGGTTGCCAACCTGGACGCTCATTCTGCAAGGCTTTATAGCGCTCAAAAGATGGTGACACTTGCTTTCTTCCCGAGCGCGGTCTGAGTGTTTTTCTCGTGTTATGTATGATTGCAGCGAATCGAGTCTGATTCGTTCGGGGAGATCGAGGTGCCTTCGTGTAAGGTTTGTTGAGAGCGGGTTGAAGCCAGCGATGACAATGATGTCTATGAAGCTTTATGGAGCACAAACAGCGCGATCTATGAAGAACTTTGCCATCGGCGATGAATGTGTTTGAGCATTTCACCACTTGTGCCGGTGCCTGACGACAAAACTTTTTTCAGCGCACCGGATGCCGATACAGGTGATCCGAGCGTTCGGGGTCCTCAAGAAGTGTGTAGCAAACTACAACAAGAAACATGGGAAGTTGTCTCCTGAAGTAGCAGATGCCATCATGATGGTAAAGATACATCTGCCCTGTCTCCGCTCCTGCTGACACTGTGACGTGTAAGGCGGCAGATGAGCTTGTAGCCGGCAAACTGGATGAGCACTTTCCTCTTTCAATCTATCAAACAGGCTCAGGTCCCTCCCTCCCTCCCTCCCACTAATTACTACTTCCCCAAACAGGGACGCAAACCAACATGAATGTGAATGAAGTTATTGCCAACAGGGCTATACAGCTGCTGAAGGGAGAGGTCGGAAGCAAGGTGACCTGAACCTCTCGCGCTTCGTTTCTTCTCATCGATTCGTTTCTGTTCCTGAGCAGCATCCTGTCCATCCCAATGATCATGTGAATATGGGTCAGTCCACAAACGACTCGTTCCCATCCGCCATGCACATAGCTGCGGTGAAGTTGAGCCTCCCTTCCTCCACTCCTGCTCCTGCTCCTGCTCCTGCTCCTGCTCCTGCTCCTGCTCCTGCTCCTGCTCCTGCTCCTGCTCCTGCTCCTGCTCCTGCTCCTGCTCCTGCTCCTGCTCCTGCTCCTGCTCCTGCTCCTGCTCCTGCTCCTGCTGCTTCCCCTCCTCTACTTGCTTACATTCTTCCCCAGTTCTCCCCTTCCCCATCCTCCTCCCTCGAGTTCCGTTCACCGTGGAGCTGTAGGTCGTCATGATCGTTCAGCATCTGATCCCAGCTCTTGAGGGCCTCCACGCGTCGCTCAAGAGGAAGGAGGAGGAGTTCGCTCATATCGTCAAGATCGGTCGAACGCACTTGCAGGACGCGACGCCTCTCACTCTCGGTCAGGAGATTTCCGGTTATGCCAAACAGGTCCAATCCTGTGTCCTCATGCTCCTCGTTGTCCTGCTTCCGCGCGTTCTTGTCATCGTCCTCATCACTCAGACGACCATCACGACCAAAACCATCAACAGTACCATGATCATCTTCATACCATCATCATCTTCATACCATGATCAGCTTCATACCATCATCAGCTTCATACCATGATCAACTTCATACCATGATCAACTTCATACCATGATCAGCTTCATACCATCATCAGCTTGATACCATGATCATCTTCATATCATGATCAACTTCATACCATGATCAGCTTCACACCATGATCAGCTTCATACCATGATCAGCTTCATACCATGATCAGCTTCACACCATGATCAGCTTCATACCATGATCAGCTTCACACCATGTCAACAGCTTCATTCCATCATCATCTTAACATTATCAATCCGTCATTCTCATCTTCATTAAGCCATCTTCCTTGGTCGCTTCATGTTCGCTCTACCCCATCCTGACTGTTTTCTCTCCAGATAGAGAATGGTATCGCCAGGCTTCGCTCCTCTCTTCCCTGTCTTTGCGAGCTGGCGCTAGGAGGAACAGCTGTGGGCACTGGTCTGAATTGTGAAGAAGGATACGATAAAGAGATCGCAGAGATCATCTCGCAAGAGACTGGTAACCCCTCCCTTCCCTCTCTTCTCTTCCCTGCACTTTTTCTTGCTCCCTCCTCTTCCTCTACCCCGCTGATCTCTCCATACCTCTCTACCTTCAGCTCCCCTTCTTCCTCACTCGTTTCAGTCGTCCCCCCTTGTTCCCACTGACCACTGCTTCCTTCCTTCCCTCGGCTACCTCTCAGTCCCTCCTGATCGCTCTCTTTCTCATCTCTGCGCATGGTCCCAGGCCTCCAGTTTCTCTCTGCCCCCAACAAGTTCGAGTCCCTCGCCGCTCATGACGCTCTCGTCCAAACTTCAGGGTGCTTGAACACGCTGGTGACTTCTTCCCTCCCCTCCCTCCCATCGTCTTACCTCCCCTCCCCTGCCTTCTCCTCCTTTCTGCTCTTCTCTGCTCTCTTCCCCTTGACCGTTGTTCTCCTCCCTTCTCTTCCCTTCCCAACTGATCTTCTTCTTTTTCGTTATCCTCCTTTTTCGTTATCCTCTCTTACACCTGTTTTTCTCCTTCCACATGTTCTATCATCACAACCTGGTCTCCTCTCTTTGACTTCAACTCCCCCTCGGCACCATACTCACTTCCTTCCCTCAGGCTTGCTCGCTCATGAAGATCGCAAACGATCTTCGGTTGCTCGGATCCGGGCCTAGATCAGGTAGAAGAGGATGCGAGGAAGGAAGTTTTGAAATGTGAGGAGAAAACGCCCAGTGAGGGAGGTAGGGATAGACCTGCAGTAGTGAGGAGGAAAGGGGACGCAAAGAGAGACGGATGGTGAGGGAACACAGACGTAGGTAAAGCTGCAGCGGCGGCAGCAGTAGGAAGACAGCAGGAGGAGCAGCAGTGTTGGGAAAACAGCAGCAGCAGCAGCAGCAGCAGCAGCAGCAGCAGCACGCACCAGCAGCAGCACGCACCAGCAGCAGCAGCACGCACCAGCAGCAGCAGCACCAGCAGCAGCAGCAGCAGCACCCAGCAGCAGCAGCAGCAGCAGCAGGGAATATAATTATCTGATTGATTCTCGAGGGTTGGGAGAGTTGCTGCTTCCTGCCAACGAACCTGGATCGTCGATAATGCCAGGTGAGACAGAGAAAGAGAAAAGCTCGAAGTGTTCTGGAGCTGAGCAAACGAATGATGCTGCCTGGGGAGGGAGCAAGAGGGACAGAAACGGGGGTGAAGGGGGGGGAGGGAGAGAGAGAGAGGAGGAGGGGAGGGGAGGGAGGGAGGGGAGGGGAGGGAGGGAGGGGAGGGGAGGGAGGGAGGGGAGGGGAGGGAGGGAGGGG